TACACAGCTCTTATTGTGTGTGTTCTGTTTGGGTTTCTGGCAATGAGTAGAATTACTAAAATAAAAAAAATAAAAAAAAGAAAAAAAAAAAGGGGGATATAGCCCAAAATGTGAAAATAGGAAAATATCACCATTTATTTCAACAAGGTAACTATAATCCAATTACCACTCACTGAAACAGTAACTGAATACAGTTACTCATAATTTGTACTCTGATTATGTAATGCTGGTACATGTAATCTGTTACTCCCCAACACTGTTAGTCAGGTCTGTGATGTGGAGGTGCTTCTGGATTCTAGAAGATGTCCAAGCACATGACTCATGTTATATCCTCATGTAAGACTCTGTATCCACATCAGCTCTGACATGATCACTGTGATTCACTTTCACTTTGGAGCTGTGGAGATGTAGACAGGTTGATAATAAAGAGTTACTCAAACATGTGCGAATGAAACAAAACACAACTCCAGGAGCAGTGAGCTGATCTACAGCGCTCAGGACCATTCCCAGATCCAGATCTAGTCTCGGTCAGGACCTTCTCTGGAGGACTTGACCTGTTGTGCATGTTTTGAGTTGATTGGGCAACCAGAGGCCAAGGCAACCCAGGAGTCAAACCAGGGACCTTGTTGCTGTGAGGTGAGACTAGCCGGTCAATCAATGGCACTTTTAAAATACAAAATACACCTTGAGGTATGGTTACTCGCTCACTGAAGTTGTTTTTACACAGTATCTGCTTTAGTCTGCGTGTCCTTTCATATAGTTCATCAGACGCAGTACTCCGCTCCACTCGCCTTCTCCTTCAACTGTTTGTTCAACACTTTTTTGAAATAATCTGGAGCAAACATACAGTGATCAAAGACACACATCTCTCTCATCACTCCCTCCCTCTCTCTCTCCTTCTCCCCCTCCTCTCCTCTCTCTCCTCACAGTAAGATACTCTCTGAATACTTAATACTGGCCCATAAAACGCCAACACTTGAGCGTGGCTCAAATGAGAGACGATTCTTTACCAGAGAGACACCCTCCCCTTCAAAGCCTCTTTAATAAAACATACTGGGCTTCCTCATCTCCTTTCCTCTGCTCTCCTCTGCTCTGTTCTCCTCTCTGCTATAGTGGGAGCTGGTGGTAGGATTTGGCTGCGTGCTGCTTGGTTTTTAACTTCTAATCACTGCTTAAAGACTGGTTTAAAGGTTCTAATATTATATTCTGCTAAATTCACTTTTGGAAACATGTTTTTAAAATGTTCTTCTCAGAAACCTAACAGGAGATGTGTGGTGTTTCTTTCTCAACTTGACTTCTCCCTGCGAATTTTGCAAAAAAGCAAATACAAAAATAATAGACATTTTAATAATAACACAATATTTATTTATTTAACTGAAAAATGTACATCCTTACTGTGGCGGGCTTGCACCTCCACAAACCTGACTCTTATTTAGGCCTGGAGCAAGGTCTCCTTGTATTGTTTGACGTGAAACTATCTCCATGGAGAATGCATGAGAATGCAGATTGAAGTACAGTTTGAGCTTTCTGTTTCCATGATGCAGGTGACGTGTCTCCTCTAGATTTACTCCTCAGTGCACAAGCAGAACTTTGGCATATCATATTCTCAAAAATCAGGGTTAAATGACATAGGCTATACTTGTGCTAGCACTTTGTAATAACACTTTGAACAGTCTTCATAAAGCAATGAAGACTAGAGTCATAATGAACAGTAGTTTATAAAGAATCACTCAGGGTTAATAGTTCAACTTAATTAAAGCCAAACTCCTTCATTGAGGAGTTATAAACCTGAATCGTTGTTAAACTCACCTAAACTATGTGTTCATTGTGAATTAAGTCTTTGTGCGTAAAATGGAGTTAAGTTGGAAAAGTCAAAAGACGAGGGACTTTTTCTATCAGCATTAGCATATGACATGTTAAATACATGATGTATATAGTGTATAAAGTGTATATAGTGTATAAAGTGTATATAGTGCATAAAGTGTATATAGTGTATATAGTGTATAAAGTGTATATAGTGTATATAGTGTTCAAAGTGTATAAAGCGTATATAGTGTATAAAGTGTATATAGTGCATAAAGTGTATATAGTGTATATAGTGTATAAAGTGTATATAGTGTAAAGTGTATAAGTATAGTGTATATATAGTGTAAAGTGTATATAGTGTATATAGTGTAAAGTGTATATAGTGTATATAGTGAAAGTGTATAAAGCGTATATAGTGTATAAAGTGTACATAGTGTATATATAGTGTATATAGTGTATATAGTGTATATAGTATATATAGTGTATAAAGTGTACAAAGTGTTTTTAGTGTATATAGTGTATATAGTGTATATATATGTGTGATGGTATGAAGGCGTGACTTGGCTGATAATGCAGATCATGTTTCAAAGACAAGCATGTTGGATCATATTAAGATATGTATATGTGTTGTATGTAAAAGAGCTCGTCCTGTGCGTCGCTGTATGTTTCTTTCACACACTATGATAAGATTCTACTCTGAGTTATTCATGAAGGCCGTGAGGTGGATGATAATGCAGATCTGACTGAACTGGAATTCATTTGAACATGTATTTATTCATTAGAGACCATGTAAAGCTGACATACATACATTTATACAAAGTGAATATTACATATGTTCAAAGAGTGTTGCTCATTTTACTACAGAAATCATATTTTTAATTAATTACTCACTGCATTTATATAGCACCTTTCAAGACACCCAAAGAGCTTTACAGTTCATTGTTCATTCACTTCAGCTCAGTGGTGGTAAGCCACTATTCTAGCCACAGCTGTCCTGGGGCAGACTGACAGAAGCGAGGCTGCCAATCTGTGCCATCGGCCCCTCTGACCACCACCATCACTCACACACACTCCACTTTCATATTCATATATTATGAACCTTTGACCAGCTTCCTGCCATTAAACTTGTCTGTTTCAATGGAGCAGTTGAAGCCAAGTTACTGGTCAGATCTGTGGAGAGGCGAGTCCACTCACATAACTCACATATATTCAGTTTTATGTGTTTTTATTGTTCAAGAATCATCATGTTTTTATTGTTCAAAATCATGATGATTTTTGATGCAGTTTTTCTTGAACAATAAAAACACATAAAACTGAATATATGTGAGTTATGTGACATTACATCAGTGTTTTTGTTCCTATAGTTTGAGAAAAAAACATGTGTGTGTTGTGTGCTGGAGGCAGATGTCCATGGACAAGTACCTAAACAGCAAACTCACCATCCACCAGCAAAGTTTCACAGAGCACCTTGAAAAAAAACAGGTCATACATTCTTACAAACACATTGTATCATTATTAGAGTTTTGTTTATTTGCTGTTCAGATCGATAAAAGCTAACATCAAAGCTTGTCGCTAATGAATACAAATCATGCATGTTGAGCTAGCACGTGTCCCCGGCCCACGCTCTCTGTCCTCACTTCATCACTTCAGGAAGAGCCCCTGATCCGAGCGCCCCTCTCTGGCGTGGATTAATTAAGCTCCGATGTGCGCAGCACACATATGCATGCTAGTGATCCATCTTCCCTCCGGCTGTCATCTCATTATGCTGACCATACCCAGCGTGGTTACCAACGGAAGCTGCCGCCTCAGCACCGCCACCGAGGGGGAGGGGGAGGGCAGGGGGCACCAAAAGAGCCAACCACTCTGCCGGCTTCATGGGGTTAATTAATTGCGGGCCCGTGCCTCCAATTAGCACCGGCTGGTTTTAATTGGGGGATGAATGGGCTCCAAAGGCTTAGGCGGAGAGAGAGGCAGGAGATCCCTTATGTTCACATCACAGCGATTTTACAACAAGACAACAGAAGCAAACAGGCAGGGGAGGGATTCTGAAAATATGAAAAGAAATATGATGTTTTAGAAATATGTAGGCTATAATTCATCAACAGTATTGTATGTATTTATTTACAATGAGACAATAGGTACAGGTATTATCAGTTTGTTACTCTATAACTTACAGTTCAATAGACTGAGCTAACAAACAGTTTCATAATAGTTTCAGTATAGTTAGCTCCCCCTTCAGGCAGATATAAGGCAGTGTCCACCAGTGTTTGACCCATGTCCAGATCTTGAGCTAGTCTTGGTCAGGCCTACCTTAGCTGTAGGATTTGACCTGTTGTTCATATTTTGGGTTGAAATTACTTCCTTTATTTGCAAGTGAAAAATTTACCAGGACTGAACAAACAACAACAAATCAAAATAAGAACTTCCCAATGTCAGACAGACACCGTTATGTTTGTTTAAAATATATTTCTTATAATGTAGAATTTGCGTTAACTGACAATGTAATATTTTTGCAGCCCTCCCACAAAGCACGGAATGAGCTCTGATAGTCACAGTTCAGTGGCCATGTGTATTAGTCCTGGGTGGCACATTGTTGGCGCATTATTATCACTGTGGTTATTACGTCTTGTTAGTCTGAGCATGCTTCACATAGTCCATCGGATATTGTTATCTTCCATCTCTTCATATCCTTCCCAAATCCAAGCCTCATATTTTGGCCTTTTTCTGCATTCCAGTTCCTCTACCGGAGAAATGAATTAGATTTGGTTTTATTAAAAGAGTTTGTTTTTTATCAAAGACCATTCTTGTGTGTACAATTAACATAAACATTATGTTTATTTGATGTACAAGGCTAATAACACTATCATGATCGAAAGCGGTTCATATCTCTATTTGATTTGATTAAAAGTGCCAAGGGTGGAGAATAAATGTGATAAATACATGGTTTACCTCAAGGTAGAGTTATGGCACCTCTCATGTTTAACACAATAAGGCAAAATACTGAATATAGTTATAGAGTTAGACGACTCAGCCTTTGTTTGTTATTTATGTACACTGGGTTGTCCTGCGTGGGGGAAAGTCTTGAATGTGGAATCTTCTTGTTAATGGGCGATGACTCAACACACTACACTACTACTCCCCCAAACAATTCAGTAGTGATCTTTCCATCCTGACTTTCTTCTCTTCTCTTCTAGGGTCCCGTCTGCGCCAAGAGGACACCCCACCCCGCATTGTTGAGCACCCGTCGGACCTGATCGTGTCCAAGGGTGAACCGGCCACTCTGAACTGTAAGGCCGAGGGCAGACCCACCCCCACTATAGAATGGTACAAGGACGGGGAGCGCGTGGAGACGGATAACCCGCGCTCCCAGAAGATGCTCCTGCCCAGCGGATCCCTGTTTTTCCTCAGGATAGTGCACGGCCGCAGGAGCAAACCCGATGAAGGATCTTATGTGTGTGTTGCTCGGAATTACCTGGGAGAGGCGGTCAGTCACAACGCGTCGTTGGAAGTAGCCTGTAAGTACTGCATGGGTTCTGGGATGGTTTTACAAAAGTTTGGACTAAGCTTCATAGTAAGACCAGCAAGGAGTTTACTCAAAAATGTGTGAATGAAATCAGGTAATACAGTTTTTAATAAAATGATTAACATTTAACATACTTTTATTAAGCAATATACCTTGTACTACAGTGTAATCATCCTCATAAAGCAGTATGTTATCTATTTAACAATAGAAAGACAATTGTTACCTTGACTGTTTTTGCACAAAAAATAAAATAAATAGGAAATCCATGGTCTATTAATTATCAGTGGATATCACTTTTTCATTTTCAGACTTGGTTAAATTATTAAGGTTTGACATAGACTTAATATTGGGTACTTTAATTGTAGCTGGTTATCCAGTGTAATTACTATACAACAGAATAATAAAGTACATCACTGAGAGTGACGCTAAAAAAGTCCCAAACCCCATCTGGCCCAAAGACTTCTTCTAATTAACAGTCTTTGTGCACAATTTTACAGTTAATCTGGCTTTTGTCATGTTAACCGAACCATCACTTAGAAATGGAAAGCACTGCATTAGAGTTACACATTTGCCAACAAATGTCGATAATATTGATCCGAGGCTGGTTTTACAGAAGCCTGGTCTGCTTTGTGAATCCATCCCTGCATTTGTTCTCCCGCCGTGGAGAGAGCTGTGGGTGAGAGCTGTGGGTGAGAGCATGAATGGGACCTGATGCCTCTCTGGTTTGTTGCACTGTTTCCTGAATGTTGTTCATTTGTTTAAATAACCCTTAAAAACATGGCTGTGAAATGTTTTTGAGTGGCTAGAGAGTTGACAGTTGTTGAAAAAAAGACTTGTTTTAAATGTGGATGCTATTTGTAAGTTGTAAGCTGGTTTAATGGACATGGACAAGAGAATCAAACATGGGGTCCCTCAAGGTTGTGTCTTGGCACGGTTGAAGTTTCATATAAAAGAAACTGACTTATTCATTTCACACAGTTTGATGTATGTATGAGTCAGGTGTGTAATAAAATAGTACTTCATATAGCCCTTAAATGTATTTATCTGTGTATAAATACTTACAACATACAAGCGTATAAGTACATGTAAGGCAGAGAAAATAACTTTAATGTAGCTCAATACACAATAGGCATCAAAGTGCAGGTTAATTTGCATTAAATATATGTAGAAAGAACAATAAAAAGTAGGTCATTAACTTAAAATAATATAAAGCCACATAGCCAATATAAAAGCCACAGTGTGTAACTTTTTAGTCATGTTTTTTCATTGTGGATGTGTTTATTGCACGGAAAATGTATAAAAACCTGCACCCTTACTATGAGTAGGCACACATTTCCACAAACCTGACTTATTTGGCCTGTTTCCACGGATATGTTGTTTCTTCAGCTATAATCTGGAATCATGCAGGTGACGTGCCACATCTAGAAAGTCACATACTGTACCTTTAAACAAGCTGATCATAATTATGTCCCATGAGTTCATCTAAACTGCCATTCAAAGTGTTTTATAATAGTTGGGTATAATTTTGACCATCAGCAATTACTCGAACACTAACACACTGTATCCCTATAATATGTTATGGCACAGATGGTATTATTATTAGATATGGATCTGAGCTGGTTTGAAATGGAAACTTTGGTCTGTTTGGGTTTGTATTGGTCCATGATTTATCCCCTCCAGCCGTGGAATGTGGGTGAATGGCTGCTCCAGTTTGCTGTCTCCACTCTTTCCAGCCTGAATGTGCTCACTGGTTTGAATAATCTCAGAGGAGAAGCCTATTGGACGCCACCGGTGCTCCCCGGCCTCGAGGATCCAGAGGGGGGGGCGGGTAGGGCTCCGATCATCCCAGGGTGAGTGCTCCTCTATAGGGCCCTCGGTAGGTGGTCAGGAGCCACAAAGGGAACAAAGGGCCCAGTGTTTGGACCCTCTCCGGGCTGTGTGTCAGAGAGATAGATATGAGGTTTTATATGAAAAGGAATGCCAGAGTTGCGTCCCTCTTAAGTCATCCTTTAATGAAGCGCGTTTCTGGCTGGTGTGGATTCCTTGTATTGTGGCCAGAGCGGAGCAGCTTTGAAGTGGGTTAAACGTATCAAGGGTCTGTGAGTAAGCCCTCTCTGTCACTACACTTCACTGTAAAAAGAACTGGGGAAATGTACGAGGCAATTACAATTTGTAAAAGTACAGTTTGACTTTTTCAAGATAATTCAGAGTGGTAGAGATGTGTTGTGTTCAAATTTGAGTCATTTTTGAAGAAAGTGGTTTATCAATGGTTTGTTGGTGTAATTTCACCAGTTTTAACTTAAAGATACTGTATGTATTGTGCCCTCTTACTGTTATAAATGGTACAGAGGACACATCCACGTTTGTCTCATTCTTAGTTTATGGGCACAGGCCTCATGTGAAAACTCAGAACCTCCAGAATTCCCTCCCAGAGCTGCAGAGGCTGCACTAGCACTGACTCATGACTGGTGCAGGTGTTGGGTTTAATCTACACGACTATCAACACTGTTCTGCAAATGTGTAATATGTAATGTAATGTAAGACAGATGCAATATGTCATCTTCTTGTCTCCAAAAAAAGTGGTTTTGCTTTGTCTGGAATATTCCACAATATGGCATTAAAATTATCAATCTTGCACAGGTGTTTATATTGATGAAGAAACTCAACACATCCATTATTACTCTTGGTGGACTTGCCTCTCCACACACCTGACGTGTAACTGGTGGCTTCCAGGCAAAGCAATAACATCTCTGAGGCCCACTAGTTCTTTGACTGATTACATCAATACAGAAAATAATATTTGGCACTGACCGAGTTTTTCCCATGTATTTGAACAAAATGAGTTTTGCAGTACTACTAGTACATGAACATTCACACAGACAGTGGCTCCCTCTTTTCTGCATCGCTTGAGGAAAAACAAAAACTAAAACACAACACTGCCCACATGAGTCCATCTTTCCCACAAGCAGGGAAGAATTTAGCTCCATAAAAAGCTTCTTTATATTGTATAAGCAGCTCTTGAGATCAAAATAAGTCTGACTTCATCTAATTTTAAAGCGTTTTATTGTCCAGGAGGTGCACGTTATCATGCTAGTTGTTTGTAGCTTTTCCGTGACTTTGTTTTGGTCTTTTAAAGTTATGAAAAGTAACTTTAGAGCAAACTGTTTCAAATGATCTAGTTGTGTTTTTCACATTTTTAACACTGAAACACAGGTACAGTGCCTTTAATCCAGTCATACATCATTCCGATTCATTCTTAAATTGAAATCTAATAACTCAAACTCATTCTCAGTTCTAGTCTCTTTTTGCAGTGCTCTCCATGTGCGCGGTTTACAATGACAAACCTGGGGCTAGTTTGGGTTTCCGCAGGTTTTCGCTCTGACCAAAAAGTCTGGAAATAAACACAAGCAGAACAACTTCTCTCCTCCTGCGGTCTCTGGCTTCTCCGAGTCTAAACATTTACTCGAGGCTGCAGACTCTTTCAAGTCACTACGCTCTCCGTCACTCCTCAGATCCATTCTCTCCGCTCCGCACTGTCTCTCCGCTCCGCACTGGAGTGGGGTTTGTAATTGGGATTCCACATGGTTTTGCTCGGCCAGGTCGGACCGTGTGCAGTGAATATAAAAGCTGACAATGGACGTGTCATTTCCAGTGCTTTGATCCATCCAACTGGAACGCTAGACTCTGTTGCTTAGACTTGCAGGTGGAGGTGTCAGAGGAGCAATGAAGAGGAAGCATGGGAGATTTGGCCGAGGAAATATCTTGTTCTGAACCTCGCCTTTAGCGGTGTTGAAGTAGAGGAGATAAAGACGCTGATGGTTCTGCTGCTTTGCACAGCTGAAACCAAAGGGGAGATAGAGCGTGCTGCTTGAAAGATGATTGGTTAGAGACAAAGGTATCAGGCTCTGATTGGTCACATTGAGTCAGTGTTGTGCTCTTATGGCCTGCAGTTAAAGTGATATTTTCCTTCTATGTATTAACTGCCAAGACATAACATATTTAGATCATCATGTTTTATGAGTTTCACTTTCATTTTTGATGCTCCGAGTTCCCCTTCACTTTGCTAAAGAAGCTACTGCACATTTACACACATGAACAGTTTGTTTTGTGTCATGTTTTTGCACCGTATTTTCCACACTATAGGGTGCTCTGGATTATAAGGCGCACTGTCATTGAATGGTCTATTTTCGAACTTTTTTCACAAATAAACCACACCGGACTATAAGGCGCATTAAACGAAACACAACAGTTAGATAAGTCAGTCAAACTTTATTTAACGCGTTCACAACAACTCTCAACTTTGTTCAATTGTAATGCGTAAAAAAAATACTGTTGGAGATGCTAAATTATCGTATTCACAATAAGTATTCATAACAGTTCAAACAGTTGGGCGATTCCAGCGTCCAGCACATCCACATCCCTCTCATCATTATCTGAGTCAGTGTGGTTACTGTTCCCTGCAGTTCAGTGATGATTCGGGTCTTGGTGAAAGCTCGGACCACAGTTGATACTGATCCTTAGCCCGGGCGTCCACGATCCGTAAGTTGCTTGGTGCTGTCTCTCTGTCTTGGTGAATGTGTGTTCTCCTTCTCTCATCCACTGCGCCGACACAGCTCACACTTTCACTTTATAACAGCCTTGAGTTTAAAGTGGGCGTTGTGAGTGTGTCTCTTGACAGGTGCATTTAGATATTAAAAGGAATCACAGTATGTATTACTCCTGATGCTCCTGACTACTAGAGCCGTAATGCTGTAAGTGGTGCGGCTTTGTACTTTACTAAAGTCGTACTAAGACACCCTGATAAATAATATAAATAAATAAGGCGCTCTGGATTATAAGGCGCACACTTGTTTTTTTTTATTAAATTAAAGACTTTCAAGTGCACTCTATAGTGTGGAAAATACGGTACATTTATGGAGAATGACTGTGTGGGAGCATGGGTGACGTAGGACATAGTGGAATGAGCATTGTACAGAATCTTACAGCTAATCT